TGGGAGAAAGGAATTGGCAAAACGATCAGGGAAAGAGAAGGTCCGCAAAATAACAATTCACTTAGGGTATATTACACTAACAGTAGAAGTCTAAGAAATAAAATTAACGAATTAAATGCTCTTGTCTGCACAGAAAAAATAGATATTATTGCACTTACCGAAACGTGGATGAATGTAGAAAATAGAGAACTATTAGCTGAATATCAAATATATGGATTTAAACTATTTCACACAGATAGATATATTAGACGAGGAGGTGGAGTAGCCATATATGTTAGGGACAATTTGAAATGTAGTCTCAAAGAGGGAATCAAAACAGAGCCACACACAGAAACTATTTGGATTGAATTAAACGAAAAAGCTAATAATATTATAATAGGAGTAATATATAGGCCACCAAATTTAGACAGAATGGAAGCAAAGCATCTATGGGATGAAATATCTAGAGCATCTAGATCTAACAGTATTTATGTCATGGGTGACTTTAATTTTAGCGGAATAAACTGGTTGAACAAAACAGGGAATAGTGAAGCAGAAGATTTTCTAGAATTAATTGACGATTGCTTTCTTACGCAACACATTAAGGAACCAACACGGGAAAATAATATTTTAGATTTAGTGTTAACTAACAGGGAAACGCAAATTAATGACATCGAAATAGGGAGTGAGCTAGGGAGCAGTGATCACAAAGAAATCAGATTTAGCATAGAATGGAATAGACCAGTAGGAGAAAATTCTGTTAAAGTGCCAGATTTTCGAAAAGCTGATTTTAATAGCCTAAGAAATTTTTTGGGTCAAATTGATTGGAAAGGCTTGGGTATGGGGTGTGGGCCGGTCTTGGAGCGAGACATGAACCCAGCGATAGGTGACTTAAATGGGGATTTCGATGTGGATTCAATATATAACTTATTTAAGAATATTCTAAACAAAGCACAGGAACGTAGTATACCATACAAATTGAATAGATCGTATACTAATGACCCAAAGTGGATAACAAAGAATTTGAAGAACCTTATAGGTAAAAAGAGAGCTTGGTACAAAAGGATTAAAAATGGGGAGGTCACTTTAGAACAGGAATTCGTACAACTGGTTAGAAATGTTAAAAAAGAGATAAGGAAAGCAAAAAGAAACTATGAAGTTCGCATAGCAGGGCAAGCAAAGACAAATCCTAAAGGGTTTTTTCAGTTATATCGTACTAAGACTAGGGAAAGGATAGGTCCATTAAAAACTGAGACAGGTCAAATAACAGATAGTGATGAAGAGATGAGTAGTATTTTTAATAAATATTTTGTATCTGTATTTACTAAAGAGGAACTTAACAATATGCCTTCAGCCGAACAAGTCTATGTGGGTGGGGACGAGGACAGGTTGACGAGTTTAGCAGTTACCAGGGAGGATGTTCTTAAACAAATAGTAAAACTCAAACCAAACAAATCCCCAGGGCCGGATGAAGTGTTTGCTAGGGTGCTTAAAGAATGCAAAGAGGAGCTTTGTGACCCACTGTCAACCATATTTAATAAATCAATAGAGTCAGGCAGAGTGCCAGAGTTTTGGAAAGTTGCTAATGTGATACCAGTTTTTAAGAAAGGAGATAGATCACTTGCGTCTAACTATCGACCAATTAGCCTAACGTCTATTGTGGGAAAGTTACTCGAATCTATAATAGCAAATAAAATTCGTCTTCATCTTGAAAAACATAAATTAATAATTGAGTCGCAACATGGTTTTATAAATGGCCGTTCATGTTTAACAAATTTGTTATCTTTTTATTCTAGCATTGTTGAGGCAGTTGATAGTGGTAAGGATTGCGATGTTGTATACCTTGACTTTAGCAAAGCTTTTGATACAGTGCCACATGAAAGACTGATTAAAAAAATAGAGTCTCATGGTATTGGGGGTGCTATATTAAGCTGGATTAGGGCATGGCTATACCAAAGGAAACAGAGAGTTAGTATAAATGGAATCAAGTCAGAGTGGGAAAATGTTGTAAGTGGAGTGCCTCAAGGCTCTGTCCTGGGACCTCTGTTGTTTATAATATATATAAATGATTTAGATTCAGGTTTGAGTAGCAACATTTGCAAATTTGCCGATGATACGAAAATCGGTAGGGAAATTAATTCGGAGGAGGACTCACTATCACTTCAAGTTGATCTAGATAGGGTTTTGAAATGGTCAAAGGATTGGCAGATGCAGTTTAATGCTGATAAATGTAAAGTTCTGAGGTTAGGTAATGATGATAGAGTTACAAGATACGAGCTAGATGGTGTTGTGATTGCGAAGTCGGATTGCGAAAGGGATCTGGGAGTTATGATTAGTAAGAATTTAAAACAAAAGGATCAATGCATAAATGTTCGTAATAAGGCAAATCGGACACTTGGATTTATTAATCGCAGCGTTAGTAACAAGACACCTGGTGTGGTTCTCAAGCTATATCTTGCTCTAGTTAGGCCCCATTTAGATTATGCAGTTCAGTTTTGGTCGCCATATTATAGAATGGATATAAATTCACTTGAACGTGTCCAGCGTAGGATGACTAAGTTAATTCCCCAAATTAGAAATCTTTCATATGAAGAAAGATTAACAAAGCTTAAGTTGCATTCACTGGAAAGGCGAAGAGTTAGGGGTGACATGATAGAGGTTTACAAGTGGATGAATGGACATAACCGGGGGGATATTAATAGGGTATTAAAAGTATCAACACAGGACAGAACACGAAACAATGGATATAAATTGGATAAGTTTAGATTTAGGAAAGACTTGGGTAAATACTGGTTCAGTAACAGGGTTGTTGATTTGTGGAACCAATTGCCGCGTAACATTGTGGAGGTGGGGTCCCTCGATTGTTTCAAGCACGGGTTGGACAAGTATATGAGTGGGATTGGGTGGTTATAGAATAGGAGCTGCCTCGTATGGGCCAATAGGCCTTCTGCAGTTACCTTTGTTCTTATGTTCTTATGTTAATATTAAGCTGGATTAGGGCATGGCTATACCAAAGGAAACAGAGAGTTAGTATAAATGGAATCAAGTCAGAGTGGGAAAATGTTGTAAGTGGAGTGCCTCAAGGCTCTGTCCTGGGACCTCTGTTGTTTATAATGATTTAGATTCAGGTTTGAGTAGCAACATTTGCAAATTTGCCGATGATACGAAAATCGGTAGGGAAATTAATTCGGAGGAGGACTGTTGATCTAGATAGGGTTTGAAATGGTCAAAGGATTGGCAGATGCAGTTTAATGCTTAAATGTAAAGTTCTGAAGGTAATGATGATAGAGTTACAAGATACGAGCTAGATGGTGTTGTGATTGCGAAGTCGGATTGCGAAAGGGATCTGGGAGTTATGATTAGTAAGAATTTAAAACAAAAGGATCAATGCATAAATGTTCGTAATAAGGCAAATCGGACACTTGGATTTATTAATCGCAGCGTTAGTAACAAGACACCTGGTGTGGTTCTCAAGCTATATCTTGCTCTAGTTAGGCCCCATTTAGATTATGCAGTTCAGTTTTGGTCGCCATATTATAGAATGGATATAAATTCACTTGAACGTGTCCAGCGTAGGATGACTAAGTTAATTCCCCAAATTAGAAATCTTTCATATGAAGAAAGATTAACAAAGCTTAAGTTGCATTCACTGGAAAGGCGAAGAGTTAGGGGTGACATGATAGAGGTTTACAAGTGGATGAATGGACATAACCGGGGGATATTAATAGGGTATTAAAAGTATCAACACAGGACAGAACACGAAACAATGGATATAAATTGGATAAGTTTAGATTTAGGAAAGACTTGGGTAAATACTGGTTCAGTAACAGGGTTGTTGATTTGTGGAACCAATTGCCGCGTAACATTGTGGAGGTGGGGTCCCTCGATTGTTTCAAGCACGGGTTGGACATGTATATGAGTGGGATTGGGTGGTTATAGAATAGGAGCTGCCTCGTATGGGCCAATAGGCCTTCTGCAGTTACCTTTGTTCTTATGTTCTTATGTTCTGAATATTGTTCATATATTCTTCAATGTGTTGGAGGCAGCGTTAACCTGCTTGCTGGGAACTGGAAGTTCCTTAATATTTTGATTGATATATCAAGATAAAATCATCAAAAGGTTACCATTGCATATTCTGTTACCATTTGCCTCTCTCTCTCTCTCTCTCTCTCTCTCTCTCTCTCTCTCTCTCTCTCTCTCTCTCTCTCTCTCTCTCTCTCTCTCTCTCTCTCTCTCTCTCTCTCTCTCTCTCTTCTCTCTCTCTTCTCTCTCTCTCTCCTCTCTTCTCTCTCCCTCTTCTCTCTCTCTCTTCTCTCTCTCTCTCTCTCTCTCTCTCTCTCTCTCTTCTCTCTCTCTTTCTTCTCTCTCTCTCTTTTCTCTCTCTCTTCTCTCTCTCTCTTTTCTCTCTCTCTTCTCTCTCTCTCTTTTCTCTCTCTCTCTCTCTCTCTCTCTCTCTCTCTCTCTCTCTCTCTCTCTCTCTCTCTCTCTCTCTCTGTCTCTCTCTCTCTCTGTCTCTCTCTCTCTCTCTCTCTCTCTCTCTCTCTCTCTCTCTCTCTCTCTCTCTCTCTCTCTCTCTCTCTCTCTCTCTCTCTCTCTCTCTCTCTCTCACTCTCTCTCTCTCTCTCTCTCTCTCACTCTCTCTCTCTCTCTCTCTCTCTCTCTCTCTCTCTCTCTCTCTCTCTCTCTCTCTCTCTCTCTCTCTCTCTATCTCACCTCCTTTGGCCGCAGCATGTCTAATCGATTACTAAAACATACAGAGTGACCTTTCAGCCATAAAATAACCATCCGTCCGTCCTGAATGTCAGGAAGAATGACGTGTTATTGAAGGTCAAGACGAGGGAGTTGTGTTGATGGGACCTCAGCCTGGCCAACACGTTCCCTCGCCCCGTCCATTGTAATCTAATGATCTTTTTCCTGGAAATGTTATGACTTTGCGTTTTATTAAATGTTATATAACGCGTTCCATTGTGATCCGAAGTACTTGTTCCATTATATGATAAATCATTCAAAGTTATACCCAGGAATGATGAGGACATTGTTATACCCAGGAATGATGACATTGTTAAACTCTGGAATGATGAAGACATTCCTATACCCTGGAATGATGAGGACAATGTTATACCCAGGAATGATGAGGACATTGTTATACTCAGGAATGATGAGGACATTGTTATACCCAGGAATAATGAAGACATTGTTATACCCAGGAACGATGAAGACATTGTTATAACTAGGCATAATGAGGACTCTTTTTCCCCAGGAATGATGAAGATATTATTATACCAAGGAATGATGAAGTCATTGGAATACCCAGGAATGATGACATTGTTTAACCCAGAAATGATGACACTGACATATCCAGGAATACTGAGGACATTGCTATACCCCGGGATGATGAGGACATTGTTATACCAAGGAAAGATGAGGATATTGTTATACTCAGGAATGATGAGGACATTGTTAAACGCAAGAATGATGAAGACATTGATATATGCAGGAATGATGAATTCATTGTGATACTCAGGAATGATGAATTCATTGTTATTCCCAGGATTGACGACGACATTTGTTATACCCATTAACGATGAAGACATTGTTATAACTAGGCATAATGAGGATTTTTTCCCCAGGAATGATGTAGATATTGTTATACCAAGGAATGATGAAGTCATTGGAATACCCAGGAATGATGATAACATTCGTATACCCAGGAATGAGGATGACATTGTTATACCCAGAAATGATGACACTGACATATCCAGGAATACTGAGGACATTGTTATACCCCGGAATGATGAGGACATTGATATACCAAGGAATGATGAGGACATTGATATACCAAGGAATGATGAGGATATTGTTACACTCAGGAATGATGAGGACATTGTTAAACGCAGGAGTTATGAGGACATTGATATACTCAGGAATGATGAATTCATTGTTATACCCAGGAATGATGAAGACATTGTTATACCAAGGAATGATGAGGACATTGTTATACCCAGGAATGATGACATTGTTATTCCTAGGAATGATGAAACTGTTATCCCCAGGAATGATGAATTCATTGTTATACCCCAGGAATGATGACATTGTTATAAGCAGGAATGATGATATTGTTAATCTCAAGAATGATGAATTAATTGCTATACTCAAGAATGCTGAAGACTTTGTTTTACCCAGAATTGATGACATTGTTATAACAAGGAATGATGAATTCATCGTTATACTCAGGAATGATGAATTCACTGTTATACCCAGGAATGATGAGGACATTGTCATACCAAGGAATGATGAGGACATTGTCATACCAAGGAATGATGAGGACATTGTTATATTCAAGAATGATGAATTTATTTTTATACCCGGGAATGATGAAGACATTGTTATTCCCAGGAATGATGAGGACATTGTTATAACATGGAATGACGAGGACATTGTTAAAACCAGAAATGATAAGGACATTGTTATACCCAGGAACGATGAGGATATTGTTATACTCAGGAACGATGAAGACATTGTTATTCTCAAGATTGATGAAGACATTGTTATACCCAGGAATGATGATATTGTTATTCCAACTAATTATGAATTAATTGTTATACCCAGGAATGATGATATTGTTATTCCAACTAATTATGAATTAATTGTTATACCCAGGAATGATGATCACATTTTTATACCCAGGAATGATTACACTGTTCTACCCAGGAATGATGAATTCATTGATATACCTAAGAATGAAAACATTGTTATACCCAGGAATGATGACATTGATATACTCAGACTTGAAGAATTAATTAGTATACTCAGGAATGATGAACACTTTGTTACATCCAGAAATGATGATAATGTTATACGAAGAAATGGTGAATTCATTGTTATACTCAGGAATGATGAATTCATTAGTATACCCAGGATTGATGACATTGTTATTCCAAGGAATGATGAATTCATTGTTGTACCCAGGAATAAAGATGATAATGGCATTGGCATACCCATGAATGATGATACTATTATACCGAGGAATGATGACACTATTATACCCCAGGAATGATGAATTCATTGTTATACCCAGGAATGATGACATTGTTATTCCCAGGAATGATGACACTGTTATCCCCTGGAATGATGAATTCATTGTTATACCGAGGAATGATGACATTGTTTGTTACGGACCCGAGTCCAGCGTCGGAGGACGGAGCAGTGACGCCATCTGTGAGTCCGCTCTCGAAACCCACTCCAAATGGACGACGCCATCTATTGGTGACAGGATAAGCCAGCAATAAGTGTTGGATTCCTGTCCTAGTCAGCTCATGACGAGGTCAGCCGCTGCTGACCTCTGGTGAGGTAGTGCTTAGACAGTGAACGCCATCTATGGAGTGAAGAGGTGGACGTTTCTGTCTAAGCTTGTGAGTGAAGCGTCCCAGTATTAATAACGTGTCTGATTGCAGAGTCGACCTGGGACTGCTGTGTTGGACGATGGACCAGTCTACCCAAGGCAGCCAAGGTCTCTTCACGAGTCTGCTTTGAAGAAGCTGTGAGTCACCCCCGGACGAACTCTGTTGAGAGTGTAATAGCCTGCCTGAGGCGTGGCAGTGTCGGGCATCGCCTTATCCGGGGCTGACTGGTGGAAGAGACTAGCCACTGTGGTGCTTAAAGAGGAGAGTGACCAGCTCACACGAGGCTCCTGGCTAGGGCACGCAACCCTAAGTATCGGTCGTGGAGTGGCCTATACAGCGGAGCTCATCGGTACCTTCCAGTTACAGGCTGGATTGTGGTTGAAGGCCATCACGACGGGGCACCCAGTGGGACTCTGATTTGGCTGACCTGTGGCCAGGGTAGATTCGTCATAGAGTCATAGTGGATTCATCGTGGACCATGGAAGAAGGAACCAGGGCTACCCAGAGTGAGCATCGTTGAGCATCCAGTGTATTCGGAGGAAGATGCAACTGTACATAAGTGTAGTAATAATCCCCGCGTGCGACTGTTATTTATTTATATTAAAGCAGAAAACATGATATTGTTTCCTTAGTTTATTTGTTTCGTTGTTGTGTGAGGCGCACGCTTCACGCTCTTCCTTTGTTTTACGTCTTTGTGGGTAGTATGGTGGACTCGAAATCTCGTCAAGGTCAATCTTTCTCGTAGATACATTAGGTTTTTGTGGTTTGGTTTTTGCATGCTGTTGTCTATTCATGACGCCTTTGTTTTTGTTGTTTAGAAATATTTGTGTTGGAAGCAACCAAGACAATAGGCGCTGCCTCGTATAATAGGAACTGCCTCGTATGGACTAATAGGAGCTGCATCGTATGGACTAATAGACCATTCAGGCTTGTTCGCATTTGTGTTCCTCACGTGTACCCCAAAGAATGAGGTGATTTGGTAAAATGCTATGCCCAAGATTACTATCCGAGTGCCGGCGGTGGGGTGGTTCAAATAGCTTCGGCTATCACCTCATTATGTCCGGTCCTGATGGTCAAGTGGATTAAGGCGTCTTGTACATACCAGTTGCGTTGCTCCTGGGAGTATGTGTTCGAGTCACTTCTGGGGTGTGAGTTTTCAGTTGCATATTGTCCTGGGGACCATTCAGGCTTGTTCGCATATATATATATATATATATATATATATATATATATGCGTCTTGGGTTTGTCTTTAGACAAAACCCAAGATTGTCTTTAGACAAAACCCAAGATTCAAGAAGATTACAAATTCTTGAGGCAATTCACATAAGAATAGAGCGACCTACCATGAACACCCAAATCACGGAACTATTTACTCTACCCACCATGAGAGTAAGGACAAGACAAGAACATATCGATGCCAACACAGAAGACAATGTCCAACATAACAGGCCAATTACACTGGATAAATCTTTGTGTTTAGATAGGAGATGCCTCGTATGGGCCAATAAGCCTTCTGCAGCCCCTATGTTTATCCCTTATGTATCCCCCCATGTTTTTCACCTTCATTGTATTATCACCTGACCTAATGCGGGTATAAAATCAACTAGTATTGTAAGATCTGTTCACTGAGAATGAACCATGGAGGTTCGAACGTCGTGCAAATTATACAAATAAGTGTAATACACTCTATAGTAAATCACTTCTTTTCTTCACCTTAAAAGTACGAAAATGAGTTTTGGAGAACTCCTATTCCAATTAAGCCCTGATGCTAAGAAAATAGTTAGAGGGATAGAAGCCCTAAACCAGAAAATAATAAATACAGAATATGCGGTCATATTCAATGAAACATGTTTGAAAGAAAACCTGCTGCCAGTATACACCAATATATATATATATATATATATATATATATATATATATATATATATATATATATATATATATATATATATATATATATATATATATATATATATATATATATATATATATATATATATCTCAGACCTCTAAAATACAGATAATTGTGTTTAATAATATGTGAATATTGGCTGTTGTAATAATAATCCTAGGCCGGACTATGTACATGTTTAGATACTTAATTTAAATAGAACCAGTGTTCAATTATAGAACTGAGTTATTTAATCATATCCTTGAATTAACATTACAAGCTGATGTGTTGAATTGTTTGCAAGTGGATTGTAGATCTTCAATCAACGTCTCCATCCACCCATAGTGACCCCACCTGCCTCTTACAGCCCACAGTCTGTCAATAGGACAAGATGTGCTAGGCTTTACAACCCAAGCTAGGGACTTCAGTTGTAATTATTTTGCATACAGTAATTTTTAATGTAGTACAGGGCAAGTTTCAATTCACCTACAGGTTAAGTGAATTTCCCCACATTTATTGTCCTTCGAACTGGATATTTCAATAGCAAATACATAAGAAACTTCTTTATTTGCATTGGAATAATTAATACATAATCTAGCCTAAACCTAGCCTGGCAGCCAATATCTATAATATCTATATATATATATATCTAAGTGAACAAATTGTTACTGTGGCTTAAGGCCTCCATATTCCTTACCTAGTAAGCACTCATAGCATACTAGTAAGTGTTCTGTGTTAAAATACCACAGTACTTAATTTTATCAGTTGTTACAGACAACAGCATCTTATCTCGCATATACCATTATACCTCACTTGTGGTAACATAATATACAAACACATTTAAGTGTATTATCCAGCAATATCTTTAATCAATTGATTTTCAGAACTGCTCATTATTAAATACTCTGTAAAAACGTGTTTCTTTACAATAAGAGCATTTCAATACAATATAACCCATATCAACTTTAGCAAACCGTAATTCAGGTAAAATCAGTAGGCGGTTTTACAGGGTCTTATCAAACCCACGCTAGGGGTACTATATCTTATAATAATTCTGCAAAAATAGTGATATTTACTATTTTTAAACAATTATTACAAAATTTACCAATTTCGTGCATTTGGATGAAAATAACCAAATTTTTATACTTGTGATAATTGTGTTGCCTGCTACATCCAGATTTCAGGGAGGAAAGGAAGGCCGATCTTTGGAATCATTACCTAAGTAGTCAGGATAGCTCATTAATCAAAACATTAACATTATACATACTTATCAAAAAAGAATATTCACGGAAACTCTGAAAAATCCATATGACTTCTAATTCTTCATCTGCTACAGAAACAGGAAAGAAAAGGACACTTAAATGTCGACAAAATCACTTGACTCAACAGCTTGACAGATGTCAAGAGTTAGCTGATCAAGTATATCTTGATTTAATCATCTTGAATAACAAAGTCAAGGCTGCAGTTGATAAATTTGTTCAAATCAAATACCTTTCTGAGACTTATTTAGCAGAAAGAGCTAATGCTAATTTAACCCAAAGGGAACTTCAGGATATCAGAGCTGAAACAGCAATTATGAAAATAAAACCCAGGATCAAATAGATCCTTTAAACTTGCATTACTAGCAGTATCCCAACCAAAAGTGAGCACATCCGCTCAGTTTGGTACCTCAACTTTCCCACATACAGCAGCCAAGCTTCCAAAGGTACAATTACCATATTTGAGGGCAAAACTGAAGATAATTGGGATGCCTTCTGGAGAGCTTTTGATTTAATAATACATTCTAAGGTTTCTCTCATCAAGGCCATTTAAATCAGTTGAATGACAAATGTTATCACTTAGCTAAACAACAAATCATTAATCTTAATCTACAGCCTACAGGCCACCTAAATCAGGTAATGGACAAATGTTATCATCACTTGGATAAAATAGTCTACCATTGGGGGAGTAAGACCAATCTTAATCTCACATTACAATCTGAATGGTTAAACAGCACCTCATCATTAATCTACAGTCTTAAGGCTAAAGCCCATTGACAATGTCAATCCAAATATTGTTATTCATCTAAGATAACTATCTTAATCCCAGAATATAATCTTGATCACTTAATCTCATGCATTCACTGGAGTAAAAGCAGCCTCAGAAAATCTGAAGGCAATCAAGCATTTCAAAGAGAGTTACTTAATAGAGAAGGCAAAGTCGAGAAATCAAAAGCAAAATGCTTCATCACATCATGAATAATGTAAATCCACATTATTAAAAATACAATTCATCCTCAAGGAAATCCTTGGAGGAGTGCAAGTTGCTTGTTTGTATAATCTACTTGCATGTAGTTACATATCTACAAGTGGTAAATACTTATAACAATATCATATCACAAGATAAAATCACTAAAAGGGAATCCTCGAACAAAAACAAGAATGTCCAAACTGGCAGTCAGAAATCAAGGCTACAGAACTCCGCTTTCACAAAGTGGAAACAGAGTAATGTTGGCTCATATGATATATCACCCACACATTTCCACAGATTTGTGAGCTTGATTTCCAACAACTGAAGGAAATCAAGCTCACAAACATAAAAGGAGCTTCAAGTGCCCCTAGATGTATATTCTGTCAGGAGGCACCTACCATATTTCAGTGCGCTGTTTATAGAGACCGTGCCAACAGAAACAATAATCAATCTATATCACAGCCAAAGCCAAAAGAAGATAATTCTTCACCAGCTGTACAATTTTGTAAGGTGCAGAGTAATGTTGATGCCTT